TATAATTATAAACATATTAATAAAGAAATACTTATTTAATGATTTTTAGGATAGAATAGATAAGCTAAAATTCATGTTAAACGAGTTACTTGAAAAAATCAAATATGAAGAAATTGATGATGCAGACGAACTTAGAATATGTTTACGACAAGAAGCTGCAAGATGAGCATGTTTTCTCGGTGACATCACTTGTATGAAAATAGCCAACAATAAATTAAAACAACATATCAAAGATCCTATAAAACACAGGTAAATTATGTTACATATTTTTAGTTTTTCTCAATCAAATTTACTTGTAGATATCTCCTTTAATGTTCAAATGAGTTCATACGCCAATTTTTAATAAGAAAATTAAATTCTATTTATATTTTAGGCTTTTGCCATGGTGGAAGACATGGACATATTGTAGAGGTTTGATGATAACTACGAGAAATGAGACCACTTTTGGAACAGTGTATACTAGAGGACTAAAAAAAACTGACATTAAATTTTCAGAATACTTGGCTTGCATTGAAGATACTGATTTCATCAAACATTATTTAAGTTATAAACAGGACATTAATACAAAACAGGAAAATCAATTTCTCGTTAACAGTTTCTTACATTTTATTACGAAGCATGCGAAAAATCCATAAATATTAATATATATTAATAAGAATATTTGTAAGTCAGCTCTCCAATTGTTTTAAAAACTCCATATTCATCTCGACTAACAAGGGGACACTACACCCAGTACATTGAGAATCAGGATGCCAATTTTTTTGGTGATTCTAGAGGTCAAAAAAAGGTATACGTGTTTCGGCGTTTTGTCGAATGCTCCGTAGTTTTCGAGTAAAAAATTTTTAAAAAATCGAAAAGTATAGCAGCAATTAAGAGCTAACTCGTAGGTCGCAAGTTCGAGTCCGTGTCTTGTTACTATTTTTTTGTTTTATCTTGCTAGTTTTGAAAAAGTGTTGTTGTTTAAATATATTTATTTATTTATTTAATTAAATTATTACGTTAAAAAATTTTTTTTTTCAAATATTTTGTTTTTATATCTTATTTTTATTTAAATTATATTTGTCATTACACATTATATATATTTAAATATATTTAAACAACAACACTTTTTCAAAACTAGTAAGATAAAACAAAAAAAAAGTAACAAGACACGGACTCGAACTTGCGACCTACGAGTTAGCTCTTAATCGCTGTTGCACTTTTCGATTTTTTAAAAATTTTCTACTCGAAAACTACGGAGCATTCGACAAAACGCCGAAACACGTATACCTTTTTTTGACCTCTAGAATCACCAAAAAAATTGGCATCCTGATTCTTGATGTACTGGGTGTAGTGTCCCCTTGTAAGAGCCAAACGCGATGTTATTGCGACAAATTAAGATAAGAAAATTTTTGGAAACTGAGGAATTTGAATCCTATGGTTGGGATCTCAGAAATTCCCCTTGTTCCTTCTCTAAACATCCCCTGTAAGAAAAAGAGAAGGAACAAGGGGAATTTCTGAGATCCCAACCATAGGATTCAAATTCCTCAGTTTCCAAAAATTTTCTTATCTTAATTTGTCGCAATAACATCGCGTTTGGCTCTTAGTCAAGATGAATATGGAATTAATATATATATTAGATAATTTTCACGAAATAAAACCAAAGTAAAGTGACATATTTTTATAAATATTTTGTACAAAAGTTTATTATATGTATTATATATATATACATCTGATTTTTTTGTTTTTAGAAATGTTAATATAATTGCAGCATTAATTATTATGATTAATAACGTATATTCCAAGAATTCAGCTCTGGTAAAAATTTTACATGTTTAAATATGTATACAAAATCAGATAATAATGCGATATTAATAATTATTATTTAATGTTTAAAATAATTTTTATAATGTTACCATAACGTTGTTTATTAATAATGGTATTAAAATTATACATTTTAGCCAATAAAGATATACTCTGAAAGTATTGTACAAGCTAACGTAATTGACGTGAACAAAGAAGATCAATTTAGAAGATATCGAATAAAGGAGGTAAATTTAATATATGTATATTATTATGGAAAGCGAAAGAAAATGAAATATTGTTTTATCTGATTATTTCTGAATATTATTTTTATATTTGTTTATTAGTTATATAATCAGTATGTTGATTTCATTATGACAATCTTTGTTTATATATATTAAGATTTGCATAATGCGGAATGCAATTACTATATTTATCTAATTATATTATAGTTAATGAAACGATTTGTTTTAGATGAGTGACCGTGTGATAGAAAAGAATGAATTATATATCGGAATAACAAACCAGGTTGATATTCGCAAGGGACAAATCGAGAAGCAGAGACAGGATTCTGCAAGATTTTTCTTCTAATCAGTAGATAAAAAAAAATTGCAGTATACGTGGACGTACTTCATATGAATAATTTTTTTATATTGCATGTATAATTTTGTTACTGTTTTAAATATTGTTTATTTAGATGTATTACTATTCGATGCCTTTATATTTACAAAACTATAAGACTGCATTCATCAAGATTTTCATTTTTTTGCGATCTTGTTTGAAGTAGTTAAACTATATATTATTACCTGCTTAGTAACAGAATTGTAGTCATATTATATTACAATAAATTTTACTGTTAGATATAATAATATAATATAAATGTATAAATATAAATAGTATAAATATATAAATAAAATCTGCTAAATAATAAGTGCACTTAAATTGTGTGCATTATCTATTCCTTTTTAAATTATATATTGATTTGTTTTCAATTTTGTTACGTGAATTAACAAAAATCTATATTTACACACACAAACACACACACACATATATATATATAACAATTTATTATTCAAATATTATAAAAATTTATTATTCAAATATTATAAAAATTTATTATTAGTTATATATATATATATATATGTGTGTGTCGATCAATTTTAATATTAAAAAATTATTTTATTATTTTATTTGGCTTTTTATTATTTCGTTTCTTACTATTCTTAATAATAAATGTCGAATCTCTTTTAGCAAAATAAATTTATGCAACAATGTTGCAACATAAATAAATAATTCGAAAAAAGATAAAACTTTGTTATATTGGAATCGGAAAACAATTAAAATATCTTAAAATCTTTAGATAGCTTATCAATTAATATATGAAAAAGAAGCTACTATGTAATGTACGCACATTTTTACGTATAATTGATTCAGGAACCGTAATATTTAAATAATTTTTGACCCATAAAAATTTATCGAATAAATCGAATTTTTAACAGATATCTTCGGCTGATTTAATACTTTAATTGATATTTCAGTAATTCTGACACTAAATAAAATATTGTAAAAAAGAAAGATGTATCGTTTATTAATTTTCTCAAACATTTAAATCAAAATTAAAGATAATTTAATTTAATTCTTACTTGAACAATTGAAATGAATTTAATGTTTCACATATTGCCAAGAATTAAATTGACACATATAAAAGAGTATCACCGCGCATTGAAAACATTATTAAATTAAAAATATTTTATTTCTATACAGCTATATAAATCATATATTTGATACAAATAAATAATTATCTGTTTTGAAAAGAATTTTCTTACATCAAATAATAAATATTTTTCACATTTAATCGATATCATTAGTTTCAAATAAATGATTTTTATTATAAAGAAGTATTGAGTTAAATATTTAATTAAATTTAATAAAAATTTCATTGCGCTATCAGAGAGATTTGATAAAGTAAACTTTGTTAAAAATTTTTAGAGACCTTCTATGTATTATATAATATATGTTTAAAAGATAAAAATATAGTAACTATTATATAATTATCAATTAAAGAATATTTTAATTTGACAAAGAAATTTGTAATATAAATTCGCAAAAATTGTCGTCACATTTGGTTTGATGTATCGCGATAGTTGATCGGATAAGATAGGTCACGATTTATATTCAAAATTGTATCATTTTCGCTTTATTCTCACAGTTTGTTTATCTAGTATATATATAATTTGAGCAGAAAAAAAAAGGAAACAGATTTTCGAAAATATTATGTATTTACTTTTCAAAGAAATGTTATATGAAGATACTAATTTTATCAATTATAAATTTTTATAGTTTTGCACACAGAGTACGATGTAATAAATGATCAAAGTAGTAAAACTTTAAAATTAGAAAAAAATTGATATAAAGGACGAAAAAATAGTACAAATCGTAATTAATAAGTAATCAAGTATAATATTTACGATTTTATAACATATACTTTTACATACAGGCGTAAGTAGGCACAATATTGTGCACAAACATGTGTGTATATAAATGTATATTTCTAACAAAAAAATATAAAGTAACCCATTTTAAATAACGTATTGTTATTTTAGAACCAAGATTTCTCTTCCGAAAAATATACTTTATACAATATTTATAGAATTTGAAAGGAGCGTCGCGTCGTAAATATATGATCTTATTTCAAGTGGAGGCATTTTTGAGATTTGATAGTTATTATTATATTGTTAAACGTTTTATGTTTAATATTGACAAAAAATAAAACATCTTGTAATATATTTATCTTTCGATATTATTTTAGCTGAATAAATTTCTGCACAAAATAATGTGGATAAATTGATTCGTATAAAAAAAAACACTACAGTTGATTTAAAGAAAATTGCAATTTATAATAATGTGCAACTACATACATTTTTTAAAATTATGAAACATGTTTACACTAATTGAATTATATTACTATATTTTGTGCATAAAATTATTAAGATAATATTATCGAAAGTGCATGTATATAACGAAAAATTACATCATATTTTTTTATATAAGTAATATATATATCTATAGATATAAGCACCGTCTGTCTGTTTGTCTGATCGTAAACTACTTCGACATTTATGAACCGATTTTTGTGAAACAACTACCAAAATGTTGCAAATTTTTCGAAGATGAATGTTTTTTTTTAAGTTTTACACTCTCACCCACGCAATCGCATATTTATGGACCGATTTTTTCGAAATTGGTACCACAATTTTGCAAATTTTTCAGAGAATGTTAAAGTAGTTCGAAATAGTAATTAAACAGACATACAGACAGACTTAAATACTCTAAATAGTACTTAAAAACTTCATCGTCGCACACCCCGAAAAATTTGCAACATTAAAGGAAATCGGAAATCTTTTACGGCAAATGTTGTATACAAAGAGGTTTTGTAAAATGAAAAATTGTATGAAAACTAATAATAGCGGGGTCAGTGTTGAGAAAAGTGTATAAATAATGCCTATTTATTTGATTAGGTTAGCATCTTTTGAATGTGCTAGGCTTAATTAAGTCAGCTGTTACACAAAAATGCCGCCACACAAATACGTATATATATACCTACATATAACGACCTCAGAAATTTTATTGACCTAACACATTATATTTATCATGATAACACGTACAGAGAATCAGTCAGTCTTTCGTGGTCTTTCGAACCACGTGGTGGTAGATATAATACTTTTAATAAAGTGTGTGAATATATTATATTTTTCCAACATTGCATACTTCTAAAGCATTAATTTGCTGCAATTTATTTTTAAAACGATATATAGTTTTAATCAATATAATTTTTTAATTAACATTCTGTTTCGAAATATTCGGTAAGTCAATATAATTTTCATACATATAAAACATATATGTGTCTACAAATTCAAAAAAATTTAATCATACGGTAGGACGGAATTTTATAGAATTTCCAACATATGTATAGAAATAGAGAGAATAGTTTTATTCACAATTATTTGTAAATTTTAATCCAGAGATAATTTAAAATAATATCGATTGTATAATATTTTACGAATTGTATGTTGTTTGGCGAATTATAAGTTTTAATAAATAAAATGTTGAAATAAATTTAGAGACGTTATATTATCGTTATTCACTTTAATTCTGCATTTAAAATATTATATAAATGACTTGCAATAACCGCGAGGTATAACTTTTGCTTGCGAGATATAATTCTATTTGTTTTTTTCTTCAGCGAGTTCACTGAGTGACAAACTATCGATTCTTCGGTCACCTATGCCTATATCGATTAAGCTGTCCGTTGTTATATTTTGCTTGTTTTGATACTTTGCCTTTACCTGTTCATTATGATTGTTTTGCTCGTTGTCATATATATACATATATTCGATCGCCGACTTTTGTTCTCAATTCGATTTAATATTCTAAAATAAAATTGAAATATAAAATGAATTTTAGTTGGGGTTGTAGTTCGAATATTTATCACCACAGTTGAAATAATCTTGAGCCCACATAAGTTTGATATCAAATAAATTATTTTTGAAACTTGAAAATGATACAATTAACAGATAGTAAATATTATAATAGACACTTTTAATTGTCCTTTCATTACTAAATTATCAAAATTCTGTTTTCCAAAATTCTACGTACTTTTTATTATTTATAAAAAAATATTTGTATGTATTTTAATATTTAAATTGATTTTGAAGTTGTTCTGACATTAAGTAAAATAACTTTATCAAGAATGAAAAATTAAATATTAATTTTTGTTGCTGAAAATTATATATATAATGAAGAAAAATAAAGAATAGAACATTTGTTTTTAATCTGTATTCGATATATCCTCTTGAGGTATAATGAAAGTTTGAAAAAATTAATTTTGTTAAGTGTGAAATGAATCCCATTGAGAAATAATTGGTTTAATCGTTATCGGTTCGACATCGATTCGACGACGAATCGACGTCAATTTGACCATCATTTCTCACTGGGAATATAAATACAACACTTAAAAATAAATAGAATTATATTAATCATATAAGTTAGAAGTAGACATAATACTAAATATTTTACGTAAAATTTTTTACATAAATATTGTATATAAAACGTTTAAAACGCATGTTAATATTAAAAACGCATAAATATTAGTTTATATCGATTAATAAGGTATTCCATTAAAGTTGAAACGTTTGAAATATATTTAAATTAAAAATTATTAAAATTTAATTTTTACTTATTATTAAATTGTATTTCTCAAATGTATTAGTATTCTACCATCAGTATTTATATAAAATAATTGTTAAAATAGAAATTCGGCTAATTAAAGTTATGTGCATAATTAAAATTCGGCAAATTATAATTATGATCCTATGCATAGCATCAAGCAACTGTCATCGTCAAAATTAACAATTTGACAAATGTAAAATAAATAATAGAAATCATTTTTTATAAAAGAAAATGCGCTCTTATATCGCGTCTAGTGATTAAAAAAACAGAAAAACTATATTTAATTTCTATATTTATCTTTTGTTTAGAGTTTTATAGATTTAAAATAAATAGTCCTTTTCCGACATGATGATATGCCTAAAACTATTATTAAGTAGCGGACTAATGTTTATCGCTGAGACGGCTTTTGTTCTTAATGAATCATCTTTATGCTATCAACCATCAAAATATATAAAACCAATCCATTACGATATCAAGCATATATCACATATTGAACGAAATATTTTCTGTGGAGAATACAATATCAGCATAAGCATTCTTAACAAAACGCAACATATACTTTTACATTCAGAAAAATTAAGTATTAAAGATATAGTTTTATTTACAAATGTAGAAAAAAATCATGAGAATGATAAAGATACAGTTTACAAACCAACATATAATACTACTGAAGATGACACAATTGATATTATTTTTAAGGATAAATTATCACCAGGAAATTTCACTTTAAATATAAAATATTATGGTATTGCTGATGAAGTTTTTACAATTTTCAAAATGAAAGAAAAAACTGCGTAAGTAAATACATATTAATAGTATATGTTTAATAAAAAGGTACATTATGCAATTATATAAAACATTGTAATTAATATACATTATTTATGTATTAAATGTTTCAAAAATTAGTATATATTATGAAATTTAATTATAAAGACGATTATTCTTTATGTTTAGTACATATTATTATATATTACATTTATACTATTTTTAAATCCCAATATTTTTATGCTTGCTAAAAAATGTTTCATTAATTTATGTTCTTTCAAATATATAGTTTGGTAGGTGTTACTCATTTCCATATAATAGGCGCTCGACGATTGTCTTCATGTTGGGGTCACCAGAATTTATTGTTAGAAGCAACCTTTAACATATCTGTAGGATGTCATGATCAATGCACGGCATTGTCAAATATGCCATTGCGAAATACGGAAAAAAATAAGTGTAACAATATTTCATGGACACACTTCGATACCACACCCGCAATGTCGCCGTATTTTGCAACAATAATTGTGTCCAATTACTTATCACGTGTTGATAATAATACTCAAAATATTCAAATGTGGTGCAGAAACGAAACTGTATTTCACATGGAATTTGCGAAAAATGTAGCTGAAAATATCACGTTGTTCTATAAAAATAAATGGAAACAACATTCGAACAGTATTTCGAAGGTGACTCATGTTGCAATTCCAAATTTCCCTGATAATGGCATAATAGTTTTCGGACTTGTTTTGTATAAGTAAGTACAAGTGCTTAAGATTACACTAAAAATAAAATTATATTAGTATGCAAATTGATAAAATTTAAAAACATGTATATATTTTTTGTTTCTGTAAACGTTTGAAAGTATAAAGAATTGCGAAAACAATTTTTGTAGAATTAAGTTTATTCATATTATTACAAAGTTAAAGTATACCAAAGAATAATTAATTTTTCGTGCTTTGGCTCTGTTGGCCGATTTAAAAAACATCATATTTATATTCTTAATATTGAGAGCCGATAAAAATATTTCTTTCTGATTAAAGTATACCGTTTGAATAAAGAATAAAGTATGTATGTTAAGGGGTAACACCACTGTAACGGCCCAAAAAATTGCACTTTTTCGACATTTTTTTTTTAATGAAAGGAAATGAAATAAAGTATTAATACTCCGTGAAGTTAATAAGCATATATTGAAGTACTTGTAAAAATTTTTTCATAAAATAATATTACAAAATGGCGGAATGGCAGCCATATTCCCTGATGCTCCTTTAAATAAAGGGGTCTGCGGCAAGCAGTGTAGCCGTTGGAAATTTGAACCAAGAACAAATAAAAAAATTCCTCATGATCTTCAATGGTATATCTAGTACAATACGTATGGGATTTTAGAAATATTGATTTTTGAGTGATTGGCGAGCATTTGAATAAAGTCGTTCATTTTTCGACAAAAAAAAGTGACATTATTTGGCAATAAAAAATGTTTAGAGCAACGTATCAAAAATTCCATACGTATTGTACTTCGAAATGTTGTTTTGAATGTACAGTAAAAAATTCAAGTGAAAATATTAAAAATTGTTAGAGTTATACTGCTTGCCGCGTTGAAAAAACGTGTTTCGAGAAAAACGCGTTTAAAGTTTGGAGTTGTATTATAACATGAAAAAATTTAAAATTCGACTCAAAAAAAATTTTTACTATTAGTCTGCAATCCCAGCACCGTAAAGCTGCCCTTCTAAGTTGGAATATTCGTCCTCCATTTCTTTCCTCGCAGATGTTATGCCAGAGCGCGCTTTTTTTGCTGCATCTGATAATTGTGCCTCTGCGTGCTTGATTCGTTTTGCATCGGATTCGATGCAAAAATTATATGCTTCGACGCCAATTTCCATTTCCAGATATATTTCGTATATCTAGATATATTTAGATATATTTAGATATATTTAGATATATTTTAGATATATTTTAGATATATTTTAGATATATCTAGATATATCTAGATATATTTCATCTAGTAGTGTCTCACATAACTTAGAAATCAATAAGCAAGGTATTATGCACTACTCTCTCGACAGGTTTCCACCCGGAGCAGGTAGCCGTTTCGGAGTCGCCCGACTCGTTCAGTACATAGCTAGGAATTTCGATGAAAAAAATTAGTTTCACGTATAAAAGTTTTTTCCTCGTATTCTACAGGGTTCAAAGGATTTTTTAAGCCCAAAAAAAAATCGATTTTTTGAAAATTTTACAGTGGTGTTACCCCTTAAATCGTATCCTCTCAGGTAGATGTTAAAACTGCAATAAAGCTATAAAAGAAATTACATTTTTTAATTTTTCAAATTATTGTTCTTTTTCAACGATATACACATTAACAGAAATTTATCGTTGCTTCATATTGTAAATTAAAAAATAAAAAAATATTATTTGATACAATTTACAATACTGATTTGCTAAATTGTACCCATGACTTTGTAAATCGTACAAATAACAATTAAATTAAAAAAGTGTAACAAAAATAAAATTTTATTTTCTATATATATATAAGTTCTGAGTCTTAACATTAAAATATAATTTCCAGGGAAACAGATATCATCTACGATAAAAATTTATATTCTAATGCTCACAAAATTAAAATAGCTGAATTAGTAGGACATAAAGTGACACAGCAATGGTTTTATAATCTGAACAATCCTTTTCGATCTGCTTCTTGGTTGCATAAAGCTTTTACTACATTGCTTGCAACGTATGCTGTCAATGAGGTACGTTATTCTAAATATTTTCAACTCTATCCCGATTTTAAATTAAACCTTTTTTTACAAAATCTATATGCATTCTTTGTAAATTGTCTTGAGAACATATTTAGCATTATTTAAAATAATTAACTGTTTGAAAAAAATACTTTTTTCACATGTTTACATACACATATAATTATAATTAATTTATTAAACATTTTTATTCTTTTAACACCACTATTTCATATTTTAAAATTTTTATGTAATATAAAATAAAATAAATTAATAAAAAACGAGTATACATGATATTTATTTAATTAAATTTGGTAAAAAAAAGTTTGCAATAATATCATGAGACAATAATTTAAAAAATATATAATATATATTTGCTAATTATATTAATACAAAATTTTAGATTTTATTATTTATATTTATTTTAATGTATTTTTTAAAATGAGAAAGTGTTTTCTTTTAACGTAGAAGACCCGCTAATGATATTAGTAGTTCTTTATAATGCAAGTTTTATCAGAGCGGTTATATCGATATGTATTAATTATTTTTCTTCTATAGATGTATCCTGATAATCGAACAATAAATTTATTTGTTGTTCAAAATCAACATACTTCTTTTTATTTGGATAATGATTATCGTATATGGAATTCTGTTTCACAAGATGACAGTTTATTTAAAATTCGCGAATCCATCAGAGGTATAACGTAATATAATAAAATAGTCCGCTTAAATTTTTAACTGGTAATATTTTAAAATATCTGTAAAATTAGAAGATAATTAATTCTTTATTTGAATTTTAATTTAATATTATATTTATAAAAGTACACATGTGCGCGCGCGCGCGCGCACACACACACACACACACACACACACACACGCACGCGCGCACACACACACACACACACACACACAAATGCACACACACAGTGTTTGGTGATAGCCGCACTTATGTAGGTACAGGGAATTAATTGAATGGTCCTTTGAAGTTTGCTATCTTCGTAAGTATCAACGAGAAGTTTACTTATAAAATAGAATGATAAACAGTGCGGCAATAAAAAACATTTCACTCTTACGCGATTATTATCCTGTATATACATATATATTATAATTTTTTTTTATAAAGTTACTATGTAACCATTATATTAAATATACATTTGTAAAATATCTAATTTATAATTTTGATGTAAATTATAGCACCCTTTATACTGCGCATGATGCAACACGCCTTCGAAGACACTTTTTGGAAACCCATTTGCTCATATGCAAATAGCACGTGAGTAATAGAACATAGAATATAATATAAAAAAAAATTATAGAAATCTTAAATAATTTATAATAGTATACAAATTTTATATAATGTCTCTTATTTTCTTTCGTTTCTTCTGACATTATTTCATAATGTTTTTTTTTCTTATTGTTAGTGTTATAATTCCTCTGTTCTTACTGATCTTCTACCAAAATTATTTTTAATTTCATTATTCTTTTTATAAAAACTATTTTTGTAGAAAGAAATTGTTATCGTTATTATTTTTTCATATACATATTTATTGTTGTTTTATTTATGTTTCATGATTTGTTATTTTTTAAAATAACAAATGCTGGCCTCTTTTACTATATTGATTTTTTTTAAATAATTTTTAAAATAATTTTTTTATTATTCTCTTTATTTTTTTTGTATTGTCTATAATTCCTATATCTGTTTTTTTAACTGCATTTATGTGCTACATTTGTTTTCTAATCGTATTTAACAGGTTTTTAAATATGTAACAATTATGTCTCTTTTCCATTACTTTCTCTATTTTTATTTTCTTCTTCCGTAAATCGATCTCCTTTATATTATTTTTTTTGTTTTGTCTTCAACTTCTTATTTGTTTTATTTCTCCTTTTAATCATTTTATACTCTCTCAATACTTTGCTCAAATATAATCTGTGTATTAATGCTAATAATACCTAAAAATATAAATAAAATTATTAAATTTTATTTAAAGTTATATTATAATTCTTATTATATTAGAATATAAATATAAGATATATAAATATATGCAAATTAGAAGTGCGATTTTATATTTTGCTTCTTAGTGTTTATTAAAAATTTGGTAGTTATTGAGATATGTGAATTAAGCTACCTTCGATCACAACAAATGTCAAGGTCATCGAACTCAAAGGTGGCTCCCCATATCTTAATAATTACCAAAATTTTGTATAATATTAACATTATACAGACAATTTTAACATATTTGTAATGTTTTTTTTTTATATATTTTACATACTTTGTGAATTTAGGCTATCACATCGTCTAGGTCCTGTAAACCTTATGAAGGATGTTGCTTTAAAAATGGATTTTGCTCTAAAACTAACAAGAATAGAATATTGGGTTTCGAAAAAGCATTGTCCTCTCATTAAAGTAGAACGAAATTATAGTGATCTTATGAGCCAAACAATTGTATCGGTACAATATATCGACATATTAGAAATTGGCTACATTCATATAACTTTTACTGCGGAAGCATTCCCCATTTTTAACAATTTCATTCATCATGCTTTAGACGTGTCAGAGGATTTTGAAATATTCTTCCCATTTCAAGAGAATGATTGGATGATATTCAATATACAACAAGTTGGTAAATATCGACAAATAGATTTATTATGACTTATTTCTCATCTTTATTTAACAAATACTTAATTGACATAATTTTATTTTTTTATCTATTTTTTGTCTAATTTTATTTATTTTTTTATTCATTGTTCTATAAAATTTTGAGCTATTCATTATATAACTATAATAGTTTTAAAATGTTTTGTGTAATATTCTGCATTGTTATATTTAAGATATACACGTAGCCGTTTTCTAAACAATATCATTCAATATTAATGTTATATTTTTACAAATATTTTCTTCAAATAAGAGTAAAAATGATTAAGATAATTAGATTTATAAAACTAATAATAATAAGTGCAGGTAATACAATTATCGTAACGTTTCATACTGCGAAAATTATATTATATATTGGTTAGCATAAAATAATTACTATTTATGCACAACTAGAATCAATTTTATTTTATGATATACATAACAATATCTTGCACAGTTTTATTTTCTCTTATATTTCAAGTATTAGGATAACATTTTTTATAATTAATTATTTACATGTATTTGTATTTTATTAATGTATTAAATTTTTGATACGTTTTTAATTTATAATTTATATAAGCAAAAATATTAAACAAAAATGTTTGAAAATAAGTATATTAATTATAAAATTATTGAAAATAATAATAATTGTTATAATTTATTTACTGTTCGACAGGATATTATCGCGTTAACTATGATGATGAGAATTGGCGAAAAATTTCAGATTATCTATACTATGATGATTTTACGACAATTCATGTTCTTAATCGTGCCCAAATTATCGATGATGCATTTCATTTAATGATAGCAGGCCAACTCGAAGCCTCTATATTCTGGAATATCACATCGTATTTGTTTCGAGAAGAAGATTATATCGCATGGTATCCTATGTTTAAAGCTCTGGAATACATGTTTAGTACTTTTCCAGTGGAAAAAAAAAAACTAGAAATTTTGTGGTAAATATTAATAAATTACAATGAAAGTATTACATTTTAATTATTTGTATATACACTCATTTGTGACAAATAATATAAATACTTAGTAAAATATATCCAGCAATGTTAAAATTTTACATATTATTACGTTGCAAATAAATGTGCAAACAAATTTAGTTTGAATAATCACTCATGCGAAGAACAATCTCCATAAAATGCATGATTTTCACTACTGTCAAATATATTGATATATAACATTGTTATATAGCTGGGTGCTTAAAATCTTTGTCAATGAACTATAATGATAAATTTATTACCAAAGAAAAATATATGTAACTATTTTTAGAAAAGAATAATAATCAGATTAAACGATGTACTTGAAAAAATTAAATATGAAGAAATTGATGATACAGACGAACTTAGAATATGTTTGCGACAAGAAGCTGCAAGATGGGCATGTTTTTTCGGTGAAATCAATTGTATAAAAGAAGCCAATAATAAATTAAAACAACATCTCCAAGATCCTATAAAACACAGGTAAATTATGTTACATATTTTTAGTTTTTCTCAATCAAATTTATTTGAGATATCTCCTATAATGTTCAAATGAGTTGATACGCCAATCTTTAATAAGAAAATTAAATTCTATTTATATTTTAGACTTTTGTCATGGTGGACGGAATGGACATATTGTAGAGGTTTGATGATAACTACGACGAATGAAACCACTTTTAGATCAGTGTATATCATAGGATTGATGAAAAATGACTTGAAATTTTCAGAATACTTGGCTTGCATTAAAGATACTGATTTCATCAAAATCTATTTAAGTTGTAAACAACACAATAATACAAAACAGGAAGATCAATTTTACGTTAACAGTTTCTTACATTTTATTACAAAGCATGCGAAGAATCCAATTATACTAACATATATATTAGATCATTTTAACGAAATAAAACCAAAGTAACGTGTCATATTTTTATAAATATATAGTACAAAGTTTATTATATGTATTATATATATATATATATATATATATCTGATTTTTTTTGTTTTTAGAAATGTTAATATAATTGCAGCATTAATTATTATGATTAATAACGTATATTCTAAAAATGTAGCTAAGGTAAAAATTTTACATGTTTGAATATGTATACACAATATGATAATAATGCATATTATTAATTATTATTTATTGTTTAAAATAACTTGATATTAGAATAATTGTTTGTTAATAATGTTATAAAAATACATTTTAGTCAATATCACGAAATGCTATCAGTATTGTAAAAACTAACTTTGAAATAGAAAGACTTCGAATAAAAAAGGTAACTTTAATAAATATTATTATTATGGAAAGCAAAAGAATATCAAATATTGTTATATCTTATTAATTTCAGAATATTATTTTTATATTTGTTTATTTCTTATATAATCAGTATGTTGATTTCATTATGACAATCTTTGTTTATATATATTAAGATTGGCATAATGCGGAATGAGATTACTATATTTATCTAATTATATTATAGTTAATGAAACGATTTGTTTTAGATGAGTGACCGTGTGATAGATAAAGATGAGTTAATTAAACAAATAACAAATCATGTTGAGATTCGCAAGAGACAAATCAAAAGACAGAGACAGTATTTTAAAAGTTTCTTCTTCTAATTGATGGATGTAAAAAAAATTACAGTTTTTTAAACGAGGACGTACTTTATATGAATAATTTTTTTATATTGCATGTACTATTTCTTTTACTGCTTTAAATATTGTTTATTTAGATGTATTCCTATCCGATGCCTTTATATTTACAAAACTATAAGACTGCATTCATCAAGATTTTCATTTTTTTGCGATCTTGTTTGAAGTAGTTAAACTATATATTATTACCTGCTTAGTATTAGAGTTGTAGCCATATTATATTACAATAAATTTTACTGTTAGATATAATAATATAATATAAATAGTATAAATATATAAATAGAACTTGCTAAATAATAAGTGCACCTAAATTGTGTGTGTGCTTTATCTATTCATTTTAATTTATATATTGATTTGTTTTCAATTTTGTTACGTGAATTAACGAAAATATATATTTACACACAAATACACACACAGATATATATATATATATATATATATATATAACAATTTATTATTTAAATAGTATAAAAATTTATTATTAGTTATATATATATGTGTGTGTCAATAAATTTTAATATTAAAAAATTATCTTATTATTTCATTTGCTTCTGCATTATGTATCGTTCCTTACTATTCGCAATGATAAATGTGGAATCTCTTTTAGCAAAATAAATTTTGTACACAACGGTGTTGCAACACGAACAACAAATTCGAAAAAGATAGAAATCCGTTACATTGAAATCGGAAAATTTAAAATTTCTTAAAATCTTTCTATGGCTAATCGATTAGAATATGAAAAAAAAGCTACTATATAATATACGCTTATATTTACATATAATTAATTCAAGATTTGTAATATTGAAATAATTTTCGACCCAAAAAAATTAATCGAATAAAATGCCTTAAAACTAAAAATGTTATAATTTCCACATATTTTTATTATAATTTTATTATAAAATAATTTTTATTATAAATAAATATTGAGATCGAAAAGTCACGATTTATATTTAAAATTGTATTTTATTTTGGCTTTATATTCACAGTCTGTTTATTTAGTATATATATAATTTGAAAAAAAGTAAAATAAATTTTGAAAAATATTTTCAAAAACTCCTATTTAAATACTAGTGACTGTCATTAATAATTGAAAATTTATGTTGTATTAACTTTTTACAAAAATGTTATATGAAGATAATAATTTTATCAGTTATAAATCTTTATGGTTTTGCGCATAGAGTACGATTTCATAAACAAAGTATTAAAATTTTAAAATTAAATAAAATTGATATAAAAAAACAAAAAAATAGTACATATCGCGATTAATAAAGAATCGATTATAATATTTACGATTTTGTATTATATACTTATACATACAGAAGTAGGTACAGTATAAAGACACAGTATTGTGCATAAAGACATGTATAATTAAATGTATATTTTTAACAAAAAAATATAAAGTGTCCTATTTTAAATTAAGTATTGTTGTAATTTCAAAACCAAAGTTTCTCTTTCGAAAAATATACTTTATTGGAAAATTTGCAAAAGCGCGTCGCGTCGTAAGTATATGGTCTTATTTCAGATGGAACATTGTTGAGATTTGATAGTAATCATTGATTTTTAAACGTTTTATGTTTCTTTCTGACACAAATATGAAACATCTTGTAATGTATTTATCTTGCAACATAATTTTATCAAAATAAACGTCTGCACAAATCAATGTGAATAAATTGATTGGTATATAAAAAACATTCCATTGATTTAAAAAAATTGCAATTTATAGAAATGTGCAACTGCATATATTTATATTAAATAATGACATATTTATACTAATTGAATTAATAAGATAAAATTATCGAAGGATAAGTTAATGAAAAGAAATTACACAATATTTTTAGCAAAAATGTTTGTTGAAATAAGTCATATAAATGTGTATAAACAATGCCTAATAATTTGATTAATTAGGCAAAAATTAAATGTGCTAAATTAAATCAACCGTTACACACAAATGCCGCCATACATCCAAATATATATATATATGTATATACAAGGTGTCGCATAATTCGCGAACCACCGCGAATGGGCAGATAGAGCGTGTTAAACTGAATAGAAAAGTCTTGTATCATTTTGCGATATTCGCAATAATTATTGAGTTATTTATTAAAATATCTAAACGAATAAGCAGGTAGAAAGCATTATTTGATCGAGAGGCGGCGTCATGCAGCGAGCAATGTAGTGGCGCCGAAAAGTAAGATGATACTTTTGATACTGAGCGGCATATAACAAACAAGTCATCCAACATGCACATCGAGTCCGGCCTACCGCTTTCTACCTGCTCGTTTAGATATTTTAGTTAATAACTCAATAATTATTGCGAATATCGCAAAATGATACAGGACTTTTCTATTCAGTTTAACACGCTCTATCTGCCCATTCCCGGTGGTTTGCGAATTATGGGACACCCTGTATATACAAGGTGTTTGGCAACAGGTGGACCAAAATGTAAGCAGTGGTTCTACATGATAAAATAAGACGAAAATCAAGAATGACAAAATTGCGTACAAGACTTCGTTTATTAATTATAAATATTTTAAACTTCGCATTAAGGGCGCCTGACGCACGGCAATTTGCCGATATCTGGCATGCGTAAGGTACATCGGTAGAGTCGTTGTCAAAATACACTGTGACGCATAAGTATACCAAAACTTACATCGTAACAGTTGATGTATATTTTGCAAAGTGTAAAATATTTATAATTAATAAACGGAGTTTCGAACACAATTTTGTCATTCTTGATTTTCGTCTTATTTTATCATGTAGAATCACTCCTTACATTTTGGCCCACCTGTTGCCGAACACACTGTATATGTATAACGACCTTAGAAATTTTGTTGATTTAACACATCATATTTAGCATGAAGACACGTCCAGAAAATCAGTCAGTCGTTCGTGGTCTTTCGAACCACGTCGCCGTAGATATAATACTTTTAATAAAGTGTGTGAATATATTATATTCTTCCAACATTGCATACTTCTAAAGCATTAATTTGCTGCAATTTATTTTTAATACAATATATAGTTTTAATCAATATAGTTTTCCAATTAACATTCTGTTTTGAAATATTCGGTAAGTCAGAACAACTTTCATACATATAAAACATGTGTCTACAAATGCAAGAAAATTTAATCATACGGTAGAATGGAATTTTATAGAATTTCCAACATATGTATAGGAATAAAAAGAATAGTTTTATTCAAAATTATTTGTAAATTTTAATCCAGAGATAATTTAAAATAATTCTATTTGTCCTTTCTTCAGCGAGTTCGCTAAATGACATGTTATCAATTCTCCTGCCTATATCGGTTAAGCTGTCCGTTGTTATATTTTGCTTGTTTTGATACTTTGTTTTTACCTGTTCATTATGATTCTTTCGCTCGTTGTCATATATATACATATATTCGATCGCCGACTTTCGTTCTCAACTCAATTTAATATTTTAAAATAAAATTGAAATATAAAATGAATTTTATCGCCACAGTTGAAATAATCTTGAACCCACAAAAGTTTGATGTCGAATAAATAATTTTTGAAACTAAAAAATACTGCAATTAACAGATAATGAATATTATAATAGACACTTTTAATTGTTCTTTTATTACTAGATTATTAAAATTCTGTTTCCAAAATTTCTCGTACTCTTTTTATTTATAAAAAATATCTGTGTGTATTTTAATACTTACTTGTGATGTCAATATATTAAAGGTTGTATAATCCTTGGCTATTATTTTATCACGATTCGACAAGAAGTTTCATTCGAATAATATGTTCACAGTTTTTAATTTTAAGTACACTTGAGAAGGACCAAAACCCATGGTCGAAACGTTGGGTGGTGATTATTAAATATTTATTGAACAGTAATGGTCGTTAAAATTAATTATCCTTTCAAATATATTAAAATTAAAAATTATTAAAATTTAATTTTTACTTTTTATACAAAATATAAGTCGAAATAATAATTCGGCTAATTAAAATTATGATCATTTTTATAGCATCAAGCATCATCGCAAAAATTAACAATTTGACAATTGTAAAATGAATAATAAAAACAATATCAAAAGCGTGCGCCAAACGCGCTCTTGTGTCGTCTAGTGATTTAAAAAAGACATCAATACTTTATTTAATTTCTCTATTTGTCTTTTGCTTACAGTGTGTTTTGCAGACCTAAAATAAATTATTCGACACGATGATATTTCTACTATTAATTAGCGGAATAATGTATATCGTTGGGACGGCTTCTACTCTTAATCAATCGTCTTTATGCTATCAACCATCAGAATATATAAAACCAATCCATTACGATATCAAGCATATATCAAATATTGAAGGAAATATTTTCTATGGAGAATACAATATTAGCATAAACATTCTTAACAAAACGCAAAATATATTAATTAACAACATATATTCAGAAGAATTATATTTTAAAAATATAGTTTTAATTAAAAATCTAGAAAAACATTATGAGAATATTAAATATACAGTTTATAAACCGGCATATGATATTCAAGAAGACATAATTGACCTTTCTTTTAAGGATGAGTTATTACCAGGAAATTACATTTTATATATTAAATACTTTGGTTTTACTGATGAAGTCTTTAGAATTTTCGATGTGAAAAATAAAACTGCGTAAGTAAATAATATATGTTTATTAAAATCAATGTGCAATGTGCAATTACATGCAACCTTGTAATTTATATATATTATTTTTGTATTAAATGTTTCAAATATTATTATATATCATGCAATTTAAATATAAAGACGATTATTATATACCTTTAATACATATTATTACATTTAAACATTTTTCAATTTCAACATTTTGATGCTTGCTAGAAATGTTTCATTAATTTATGTTCTTTGAAATGTATAGTTTCGTAGCTGCTACACATTTTCATATAATAGGCACCCGGTATATAATGAGTACGTGTTGGGATGAAAAATATTTATTCTTAGAAGCAACCTTTAACATATCTATAGGATGTAATCAATGCACGGCTTTGTCAAATATGCCATTGCGAAATACAGAAAAAAACAAGCACAATATGTTAATGAAACGCTTCGATATCACACCTGCAATGTCGCCGTATCTTGCAACAATAATTGTATCCAATTACTTATCACGTGTTGATAATAATACTCAACATATTCAAATGTGGTGCAGAAACGAATCTGTATTTCACATGGAATTTGCAAAAAATGTAGCTGAAAATATTACGTTGTTCTATAAAAATACATGGAAACAACATTCGAACAATATTTCGAAAATGACTCATGTTGCAATACCAAATTTCCCTGATAATGGCATAATAGTTTACGGACTTGTTTTGTATAAGTGAGTACAAGTACTTAAAATTACATTAAAAGTAAAATTATATATTAGTATGCAAAATTATACAATTGAAAAACATGTAGGTATATCTTTTGTTTCTGTAAATGTGCAAAAGTATAAGATATTGTAAAAACAACAATTTTAAGTAGTATAAATTAAGTTTATTCGTACTATAATTCAAAATGTTGTAGTTTATTGTTTTAATATATACATACATAAAAGTAAAAATTTTTATGCTATATCGTATCCCCTAAGGTAAATTTTAAAATTGTAATAAAGCTATAAAAGAAATAACATTTTTTTATTTATTAAAACTAAAGTTCTTTTTCGATGATTTACGCATTAACCCAAATCATTGTTTTATACTTAAATTAAAAATTACAAAAAATATTATTTGTTACAATTTACAATATCAATTTGCTAAATGAAATTTTATTTTGTATAAAAATTCTCAGTTTTACATTTAAATATTACTTTCAGCGAAATGGATATCGTTTACGATAAAAATTTGTATCCTGTTTCTCACAAAATCGAAATAGCTCAATTAGTAGGACATAAAGTGACACAGCAATGGTTTTATAATCTGAACAATCCGTTTCAATCGGCTTCTTGGTTCAACAAAGCTCTTACTACATTGCTTGCAATAAATACTGTCAATAAGGTTATTCTAAATATTTATAACGCTATCACTTTCCACTTTTTCAAAAACGATAACATACTTAAGCATATATATAACAGGAATTTCGTATATCAAATTCTTTTTACAAAATGTATAAATTCTTTTTAACAATATATACATATGTATCCAATATTAAACAATATATACATATGTATACAATATATTAAACTGTTTTTTAAAAATACTTATTCAAATATTTACATTCATATAAATATAATGTAAAATATAAAAACTTTTTTATATTTTAACACTACTTTATTTGATATTATTATACTAGTTTTTCGGTTCGCTCTTCACGCGGGCCTCAAAGCCTTCACCCAACACTAATTCCGCTTTTACTAGTTTTTACACAATGTTTTAATTTACAAAATTAAAGATATAATATTTAGTTTTAGTACCAATTTCGAGAAAATCGGTGAATAAATATGCGAATACGTGTGTGGATGCGTGGGTGGAATAAAACTTAAATAAATCACACAACAGCCTTTTCAGAAATATTTGCAACATTTTAGTACCAATTTCGTAAAAATCGGTCCATAAATGCGCATGCGCATGGGTGAATGTGTGGGTGGAGGTGTAACATTTGAGAAAACCACCAATTGTCGTTATCTCCAAAAAATATGCAACACTTTGATATCAATTTAAAAAAAATCGGTCCATAAATATGCGATTGCGTAGGTGAGTGCGTGGGTGGATGCGTAAAACTTACAAAAAATCACCATCGTCACACTTTCCGGAAAATTTGCGAAATTTTGGTACCAATTTGATGAAAATCAGTCCACAAATGTGGAAGCAATTCGCGGTCAGACAGACAGACAGACAGACAGAGAGACGGACGGTATTTATACATATAGATTTCTATAAAATCTAAAATATAAAATAAATTAATTAGAAACTATTATATCCAATATTTATTTTACTTATTTTGATAAAGAGAACTCTGCGATATAATATATCATGAGATAATAATTTTTAAAGTATGTAATATTTGTTAATTATATTAATACAAAATTTATAATTTTATTTTTATATTCATATGTGTTTTTCAAAGTGAGAAAGTGTTCCTTTTTGACATAAAAGAACCGCTAATGATATTAGTATGTTCTTCTAATGCATGTATTTTCAGAGCGTTTATATTGATATATTAATTAAATTTTTTCTTTAGATGTATCAAGATAATCGAATAATACATTTATTTGTCGTTCAAAATCAACATACTTCTTTTTATTTTGATGATTATGGTATGTGGAATTCTACTTTACAAGATGACAGTTTATTGAAATTTCGCAAATCCATCAGAGGTATATAACGTAATATAATAAAATAATCCGCGTAAATTTTGTATTACTGATATTATAAAAATATTTGTAAAGTTATAAGATAATTAATTCTATATCTGAATTTTATTAAAAAAATAAGATTATAAAAGCACACACACACACATGCATATTTATGTATATTTTTTAATAATTATTTAAAGTATATACATATAAGTATATATATATATATATATATATATAAATATATATACACACAAATATTATACTAAATAATATATATAAATATGTATTCACACACGAGTATAATTATACAGTATAATTATTAATTAATATCCTTTACACACATATGCGTAATTATATATATATATATATATATATATATATATATACCAAATATATATATATATACATACACACAAATAGATATATATATATATATATATATATATTATATATATATATTATATATATATATATATTTATAAATATATATATACACACGAAGTGTCCGGTATAATTACGCATATGTGTGTAGAGGATATTAATAAAATGATCCTTTAATGTTTTGCTATATCTTTGTAACGAAAAATTTACTTTTAAAATAAAATGATAAACCATGCAGCAATAGAAGACATTTTACTACTGTTATGTGATTACTGTACCTTGTATATATATATATTGTATATATATATATATATACAAATAATTTTGCTTTATAATATATAATATCATTTTACATGTAACCATTATAATAAATATATATTGATTATATAACTAATTTATAATTTTGATGTAAATTGTAGCACCCTGTATACTGCGCATGATGCAACACTCCGTAACCAAAGAAGTATTTTGGAAAGGCATTCGATCATATACAAATAGCAAGTGAGTAATACCCAATATAAAATATATAATAATAAAATAAAATTATATAAATCTTAACTAATTTATAATAATACAAATTTCATATATTGTCTCTTATTATTTAATTTTTGCTGACATTATTTCATATTATATTTTTTTAGTTTTAGGTACAATTCTGCTATTTTCCTAGAAAATCTGTTACTAGATTTATTTTTACTTTCGTTATTTTTACTATGAAAACCGCTTTTGTTGAAACAAATTGTTGTTTTATGACTTTTTATATATACATATTCAATGTTGTTTTATTTTCGTTTCATAATTTAGTATTTTCCAAAATATTTTTTAAATTAATTTGTATTCTTTTTATTATTTCCTTTATTGCTTCATATCGTTTATAATTATTCTTATAATATCTGCTTTTTTTTAATTGCATTTTGTGCTACGTTTGGTTTTTAATCTTATTTTAAATATATCTGACACGTATATCGATTTTCCGTTACTTTCTTTATTTTTATTTCATTTCTTTCATAGAACGATCTCCTTTATTATATTTGTATATTATTTCTTGTTTTGTTTTTATTTTTATTTGATTTGTTTTGTTATATTTTATTAATCATTTTATAACTCATCTGTCAATACTTTGATCAAATATAATCTGTATTATTAACTCTTGTAGAAATTTATCACTAATAACGCCAATTAATCACTTATTTTGAGTACTTAAAATACTGATATACAGTAATTTAAGTACTCGAAATAAGTGATAAATTGGCATTACTAGTAATAGTATAAAGAAATGTCTAACAAATTAAATAAAATTTTTAAATTGAATTTAATATTATGTTATTATCATAATATAAATATAAGATATATAAATACACAAATACAAATAAGTACATTATTATATTTTGCTTCTTAGTATTTATTAAATTTTTTATAATATTAAAATATTAATATTATAAATACAATTTTAATTTTATTTATAATGTTATTTCTACATAATTTGCATACTTTGTGAATTTAGCCAATTTCATCGTCAAAGTTTTATGACATTTTTGGAAGAAATTGTTGCTGATGCAAATAAGCTAGATAAACTTCAATTATCATTACAAACAATGGCAAATTGGACATTAGAAGAGCATTGTCCTCTCATCAAAGTAGAACGAAATTATCATCTTTTCGGAAAGACGAAAATACATTTATCGATACAAAATCCCGACACATTAAAAATTGATTGCTTACCTGTAACTTATACTATCCAGTCGGTTTCCGATTTTGACAGTCTTGATCACCGCGCGCTATGCATATCACGGGATGCTGTTATTTCATTGTCATTAGAAGAGCATGGTTGGGTTATAATCAATTTACAACAAATTGGTAAATATCGACCAATTGACTTATCATGACTTATTACTCATCTTTATTTTACACACATACACAATTGACATTATTTTATATTTTTTTTGCTTTACAGTATATTTATATATAAATCTGAGTTATTTTTAAATATAACTACCATAGTTTTAAAATGTTTTATATAATGTTCTGTATTATTATATATAATTAATAAGATATATATCGGGTTTTCTACATAATATCAATCAATATTAAAGTTATATTTTCACAAATATTTTATTCTAATAATAATAAAAATGATTAAAACGTTAATTATATTTATAAAATTAATATATTAATATAAGTATATAGGTGAAATAAAATTCTTGTACAGTTTCATGTTACAGAACTTTTGCTGATTAGTATAAAATAATTATTATATATATGCACAACTAGAATCAATTTTATTTTATGCTATACGACAATATCTCGCACAATTTCATTTTTAGATTATAAATAATTTTTAATATGTATTTGCATGTTAGTGAATTTTTGATACGTTTTTAATTTATAATTTATATAAACGAAAATATTAAACAAAAATGTTTGAAGTTAAGTGTATATTAATAATAAAAATTATTCAAAATAATATAAATTGTTAAAATTTATTTATTATTCGACAGGATATTACCGCGTTAATTATGATGATGAGAATTGGCAAAAAATTTCAAATTATCTATACTTTTATAATTTTATGACAATTCATGTTCTTAATCGTGCCCAAATTATCGATGATGCATTTCATTTAATGATAGCAGGCCAACTCGAAGCCTCTATATTCTGGAATATCATATCGTATTTGGATAGAGAAAAAGATTATATCGCGTGGTATCCTATGTTTAAAGCTCTGGAATACATGTTTAGTACTTTTCCAGTGGAAGAAAAAACTGAAAAATATGCGGTAAATATTAATCAGTTTTAATAAAAGTATTACATTTATATATTTATATATACACTGATTGATCACAAATAATTTAAATATTTATAGAGAAATATATCTAGCAATAAAGTATTACATATTTTTACGACTCACATAAATGTGCAAACAAATTTAGTTTGAGTAATCACTCACGCGATGAACAGTTCCCAAAGTGTATTCACTACTGTGAATAATTAATATATAACATTGTTATTGGATACATAACTGGATGCTTAAAATTTTTGTCGATGAATTATAATTATAAACATATTAATAAAGAAATATATATTTAATGATTTTTAGAATAGAATAGATAAGATAAAAACCATATTAAACAAATTACTTGTAAAAATCGAATATGAAGAAATTGATGATCCAGACGAACTTAGAATATGTTTACGACAAGAAGCTGCAAGATGGGCATGTTTTTTCGGTGACATCACTTGTATAAAAGAAGCGAAAAATAAATTAGAACAACATATCGAAGATTCTATACAACACAGGTAAATATGTTATATATATTTAGTTTTTCTCAATCAAATTTTCTTGTAGATATCTCCTATAATGTTCAAATAAGTTAATACGCCAATCTTTAATAAGAAAATTAAATTCTATTTATATTTTAGGCTTTTGCCATGGTGGACGGCATGGACATATTGTAGAGGTTTGATGACAACTACGAGAAATGAGACTACTTTTGGAACAGTGTATATTAGAGGATTGGAAAAAAATGACATTAAATTTTCAGAATACATGGCTTGCATTAGCAATACTAATTTCATCAAATTCTATTTAATTCATAAAGAGCACAGTGATACAAAACAGGAAGATGAATTTCTCGTTCACACATTCTTACATTTTATTTCGAAGCAGGCGAATAATCCAATTATATTGACGTATATATTAGATAATTTTAACAAAATAAAACCAAAGTAAAATGACATACTTTTATAAATATTTGTACAAGTTTATTATATGTATTATATATATATGTATCTGATTTTTTTTGTTTTTAGAAATGTTAATATAATTGCAGCATTATTATTATGATTAATAACGTATATTCCGAAAATTTAGCTAAGGTATAAATTTTACATGTTTAAATATATTTATACAAAATATGATAATAATGCGATATTAATAATTATTATTTAATGTTTAAAATAATTTTTATAATGTTATCATAACGTTGTTTATTAATAATGGTATTAAAATTATACATTTTAGTCAATAGAGGTACACTCTAAAAGTATTGTAGAAGCTAACGTAATTGAAGTGAACACAGAAGATCAATTTAAAAAACATCGAATAAAGGAGGTAAATTTAATATATGTATATTATTATGGAAAGTGAAAGAAAATGAAATTATGTTTTATCTGACTAATTTCTGAATATTATTTTTATATTTATTTATTTGTTATATAATTAGTATGTTGATTTTATTATGACAATCTTTGTTTATATATATTAAAATTTGCATAATGCGGAATGAGATTACTATATTTATTTAATTATATTATAATTAATAAAACGATTTGTTTTAGATGAATGACCGTGTAATACATAAGATTGAGTTATATTCTTAATTATAATCAAGGTTAAACTATTCGCAAAAAACAAATCGAGAAGCAGAGACAATATTTTGCAAGATTTTTCTTCTAATCGGTGGATGTAAAAAAATTGCAGCTTTGCATACGTGGAAGTACTTCATATGAATAATTTTTTTATATTACATCTATTCGTTTTACTGCTTTAAATATTGCTTATTTAGATGTATTACTATCCAATGCTTTTATATTTACCTATAAGACTGCATGCATCAAGATTCTCATGTTTTTGCGATCTTGTTTGAAGTAGTAAATTATATATTATTACCTGCGCTTAGTAAAGAATTGTAGCCATATTATATTACAATAAATTTTACTGTTAGATATAAAATATCGTATAAATGTGCGGATCGTAACTAGTCGCTTCGTGCACCAAATCCGCACTCTCGACCGATTAATAAGTGCACCTAAATTGTGTGTGTGCATTATCTATTCATTTTAAATTATATATTGACTTGTTTTCAATTTTGTTACGTGAATTAACAAAAATGATAATTTATTTTATTTCTTACTTACATAATTAAAATCAATTTAATCTCTCTCTCTTGCTCAAAAATAAAATTGACAAGTATAAAGAGCATTACCGCATTAAAAAAATTATTAATATTAATAAAAATTTTTATTTCTATACTGTTATATAAATAAATTTTATCTGTACAAAAAAATTTTCTTACATCAAACAATAAATGTTTTTTACATCCAATCGATATTATTAGTTTAAATAAATAATTTTATTTAAAATAGTATTAAGATCGAAAAGTCACGATTTATATTTAAAATTGTATTTTATTTTGGCTTTATACTCACATTTGTTTATTTAAGTATAAATATAATTTGAAAAAAATAAAATAAATTTTGAAAAATATTTTCAAAAACTCTTATTTAAATACTAGTGACTGTCATTTAAAATTGGGTATTTATTTTGTATTAACTTTTTACAAACATGTTATATGAAGATAATAATTTTATCAGTTATAAAACTTTATGGTTTCGCGCATAGAGTACGATTTTATAAACAAAGTATTAAATTTTTAAAATTAGAAAAATTGATATAAAAAGACAAAAAATAGTACATATCGCGATTAATAAGGAATCAATTATAATATTTACGATTCTATATTATATACTTACACAAACAGGAGTAGGTACAGTATAAAGACACAATATTGTGCATAAAGACATGTATAATTAAATGTATATTTTTAATAAAAAAAATATAAAATGTTCCGTTTTAAATTAAATATTGTTGTAATTTCATAACCAAGGTTTTTCTTTCGAAAAATATACTTTATACAATATTTATAGAACTTGGAAAAAGAGAGTCGCGTCGTAAGTATACCGTCTTATTTCAATTGGAGCATTTTCGAGATTTGATAGATATCATTATTTTTCAAACGTTTTACGTTCTTTTCTGACACAAATATAATACATTTTGTAATTTATTTATCTTCCAATATTGTTTTATCTAAATAAACTTCTGCACAAAACAATGTGGATAAATTGATTGGTATAAGAAAAACATTTCAGTGATTTAAAAAATTGCAATTTATAGCAATGTGCAACTTCATACATTTATTTTAAATAATGACATATTTATACTAATTGAATTATTAAGATAAAATTATCGAAGAATGAGTATATGATTATAAATTATACAACATTTTTAGCGAATATTTTTTTGAAATAAGTCATATAAATGTGTGTAAATAACGCCTATTTATTTTATTTGATTAATGGGCAAAAGTTAAATGTACTCAATTAAGACAACAGTTACACAAAAATGTCGCCACACACACAAATATATATGAAAATATATATACATATAACGACCTCAGAATTTTGTTGACCATACACATTATATTTATCATGAAGACACGTACAGAC